GCATGATTATGATCATCATCATCATTATAATCATCATCATCACCATCATTATCTGTCATCATCATGTATCGTCATCTCCGTTGCGTGCGTATCATGATCACCACCATGTTTGATAAATATTTTCATCATGAGGCATGATTATGATCATCATCATCATTATAATCATCATCATCACCATCATCATCTGTCATCATCATGTATCGTCATCCCCGTTGCGTACGTATCATCATCACCACCATGTATGATAAATCATCATGCTTAAGTAGCGTTATTAACCAACGCTTGAGTATAAAACATCTGATATACAGTTACAATGTCCTCAGACGACTCCTATTAGAATCGAACCAGCAATAAGAGAGTCCCTTTCTGTTCTATCTCACACGTCAGTACATACCTTCAAGTTATCGGGTAGTTCTGTTCTGCCGGCATAGCCTGGATTCATAGTGATAAATACTGCACAACTTGGTTTGATAGCCAGCTCAACACCTTCAAACATGAATCGATCAACCTGGGGGCAAAATATGTTTAATCATTACATAACTTTAGGGAAATGCATTTTTTAAAGAAGTCAGTGCTATTAGTATAGGAAATCGCACGATCTTGGGTACAGAGTTTATGCTGAGGTAACCACTTAAAATTCAAGGACTATTCAAGGAGTATACAAGGACCCAACAATATATTTTCTAGGAGTGTGTTCAGCCAAATTTGCCAAGGTTTTACACGGTGGTTGCACATGTCCGACTTTCAGATTTTCCGATCTTTCTGACTAGATCTATTTCAGAACCATGCAAGTAATGGTCAAAGCAAAAATTCAAGGAGTTTTCAAGGAGTTTTGCTAAAATCATAAAATTCAAGAGCTTTTCAAGTGCCCGTGAATTAAATTCAAGGAGTTTTCAAGGAGTTTAAGGAGTAGCACGAACCTTGGAGTACAATTAGGACTTTAAAGGCACGAGTGATGTTTTGAAAGTTTTCAAAATTGAACGACCCTTTAGGCGAGTTCAATTTGAGAACTGTCAAAACATCACGAGTATCTATAAATTCTGAACTGTAAGAAAAGATTGTGCGATTATTTGTTTATGATACACTCAACAAAACTAAGCAACTTAATTGGGACTCTACAGAGTACAATTTAGGATTTAATTGTACTCCTCTTGTCCAATCAGAATCAAGTAATTTTGTTGAATGTATTATAGTAAATTAAACAGTCATACCCTGGCTTCCAGTGCTTGTTGAATGGTGGAGATCTGCTGTGCCACCACAGATAATACCTCAACGTCTATACGATTAAACTCGTCGAAGCACGCCCAAGCACCAGCACTGAAGACAACAATACCATGGATATATCATTGATTATCAGTAGTAATATTCATAGTTATAGGTATTTGTAACCTCGACATAGATACGACATGCGACACAAGCATACGACACAAATACGACAGATATGCGACACAATATATATATACGATAAACATGTGACACAAGATATACGACACAACTGAATACAACATAAATGCCACAAATATAGCATACATACGATATACGACATACGACACAAACAAGACATACGACATGCGATACAAGACATACGACACAAATACGATGGATATGCGACACAATATGCATACGACAAACATGTGACACAAGATATACGACACAACTGAATACAACATACATGCCACAAATATGGCATACATACGACATACGACACAAACAAGACATACGACATGCGATACAAGACATACGACACAAATACGACATACATGCGACACAATATATACTGTATACGACAAACATGTGACACAAGATATACGACACAACTGAATACAACATACATGCCACAAATATGGCATACATACGACATACCACACAAACAAGACATACGACATGCAACACAAGCATACGACACAAATACGACATACATGCGACACAATATATACTGTATACGACAAACATGTGACACAAGATATACGAAATTCCCCGCGTACTTGCAACAAATAGCTATTGGAAGACTGAAGACATGATCACATACCTTGCCAGGCCTTTGAAGAATTTTCCCATAGCCATAAAGTCGAGCTGATCAGAACAGTTAAACACGACACACTGTACAGCCATGGCTTTACCGAGATCCTAAGAAGATAGTGATTATGATCCAATCATTATAATATGTTTAATACTAATATGAATTAGAACAATCGTGTCCTCCCGCAAGCAAAGATGAAATCACTTGTGGCTCTTAAGGCCGATTTAAACGGTATGACTTTTCCTCAAAACTGTCGAGCGCAAAATGATTACGCCTAGTTTTAGCTGCCATTTACAGTCGTAAGCAAATTGTACAGTCGATTTACAAGGTACGCCTTTTCCCTCACAACTGTCGAGCGCAACATGAATACGCCTAGTTTTAGCTGCTATTTACAGGGGTAAGCAAATTGTACAGTCAACTTACACGAAGCAATTCGTACCCTCAACGGCTGTGCGCAAGTCATACCACGTAAATCGACCTTTAGGGATAAGGTCAAAGCAATTGCTATCTTAGTAACCTGTTTCAGAGGAGAGGGGTGGAGCTTTCCAGTACCCATCCCCCTCTGAAACTGAAATCCTGGATTTTGTCCTCAAGTACCTCCAACTAAACGTCAAATTTCGGTGACGGAGATGAATGTCCTGTCTGTTTGCATTTATGCTATAAATAATCACTATGGACACCCAGTATCGACCTAACATTTTAAAAGAAACCCGGGGAAGGGGGGAGGCGGGGAGGGGGAGGGGGATGGGTATCTTTACCGGAACCCGCAAACTAAAACATTACAATGGGGTCCCAGTGGACTACTATTTTGATTTTGACCCTTAATCACCATTTAACATTTTCACGCTATGGGAGTTAATAATTTTACCTTTGTTGTTTCTGTCTTGCCAGTACCAGCAGGACCTGCCGGAGCCCCCCCGAACTTGAGGTGAAGAGCACCAGTGAGTGTTAAGTAGCAGCGATCAGTCAGGGGGGTGATGACCAGGCGACCAGTATTACCAAGGTATTCATAACCATAGTCAAACTGAGCATTAACAGCACGAATCACCATGGTATCCTCCTCCCAGTAATATCTGGAATCATAGCACATCATTCAATATCGTACAAGATGCAATAGATAGATCTATTTTGATGGGTAGTGTAATCATACGGCGACCATCTCGGATCGCAATGCATTAAGGGGGCGTCGAGGGGCAAATATAGAGCTAATGTGAAGCATAATAATATATTATTCTTTATATTGGCTTTCGTTATTACAGCCAAAGACTGAAATTATGAAATTGTTATCCCCATTATATATTCGCTAACTATTTTTATCCTTTTTTGCCCCCTAGACGACCCATAATGCCTCGCGATTCAAGATGGCCGCCGTAACGTCGAAGTGGTCCACTTTACCTTAACTGACTGATCCACTCGAAATCATTAGCAGAATTGACTCCTTCATTGACCATCTTGGTCACCACATCACAAGCATGGACCTGAGTTAGAAAGTATTTGAATAAGTTTTATAATAAAGATAGAATTAGAACGTTGATACTTGCAACGGGCGGGCAATGTGGAAATTTTGAAAAATTACGCACAGATACAGTCGTGTTATTTATTTATTTTCATCCAGAATTTGCCTTGTTGGAGCACTTTGTTGCATAAAGGTGTTTGGTACCAGCTGATCTGATCGTTTCCCTCGATCATAGTTATGGGTCAATTTACATTGCGAATCGAAAAACCGTGGGCAACTAGAAATATTAGACTGCTACTAGCGTCTAAATACGCAGCCCGTAAAGTTCTCCACTGGTCATGATTGTGAAGCGCATTGAGACCATGTAAAATGCGCTATATAAGAACCACGTTATGTTCTAGGAATGTTCTATTCTTCTTTGGCCAATTAGAATTGACTTTCTAACCACAAGATAACGGAAAGATAACAATAATGGCTATTGAACATTCTTGAAATACTTCAAGGTGCCCACGGTTTTTCGATTCGTACTGTAATATTTGGTTAGCTTTTACATAGCAATTTTAAAGGAATCAAAATTTCATGATGGCTCTATATTCATTGTTTCTTTTGTACCACGAGACCATTACACTAAAGTTTGTCCGCAATCTTGTTCATTGTCTTGTCAGTGAGTGGCGCAAAGAAACATGGGAAATGCTAATCAAAATACCATGCTCAATCCTCAATTCTGATTGGTTGATTTTGAGTTAGCTGTGAAGGTCAACTCAGTTGGTAGTCATTTTACCTCAATGACGATAAGAGCTCCAAGGATAAGACGAGCCAACTTAGAAAGATCTCCCCTGACAAGTGTCACCAGGTCATTCAACTAAAAATAAAAAAGACATATATCTTATGTGTCTGAGTATACTGGTGATGTTGATGATGATGATGATGTTAATGATGATGATGATGATGGTGATGATGGTGATGATAATGATGATGATGATGATTTTGATGATGGTAATGATGATAATGATGATGATGTT